CCATGCTGCTATAGTAGGAGCACAATGCTAAAAGGACCATGCTGCTAGCAGGACCATGCTGCGATAGTAGGAGCACAATGCTAACAGGACCATGCTGTTAACAGGACTGCACTACTGGCTGGACCACGCTGCTGACAGGACCATTCTGCTAACAGTAACAGTGTTTTTATAGCACTATTTTTATTTTAATTGCTTTTTATTGTTGAGTACTGTGAGTCCTCATGACTCATTGAGATTACCTGTATAAATAAAAGTCAAAATAAAAAATAACTCAAAATTCTTACAAACTTGTTTCCTTGTAAAAATTAAAAGAACTATTCTATACCAACTGATGATGTAAATAAACACAACTGGACTCACAGAGCTTTTCTGCAATTCTTAACAGCTGGAATCATTCTCAGTCGTCCCTTATTTGATGTGTTGTATTTCTTCAGGTCCAACTCATCCAGAACCTCCTCTGACATCTGAAGCATGTAGGCCAGAGCTGAACACTGGATCTCTGAGAGTTTCCTCTTGGATCTGTTTTTCGACTCCAGGAACTCCTGGATCTCCTGATGGACTGAGAGGTCTTTCATCTCCATTAGACAATGAAAAATGTTGATGCATCTCTCAGGATCTCTGTCTGGAGAAAAATAATCAGTGTTTATCTTCTTCAGGTTGTTGATGACTCTCTGGAGGATTTCTGGACTGTAACCCGTCTGACCCAGGAGGCCTCCTAAAAGTCTCTGGTTGGACTCCACACAGAGACCATGAAGGAAGCGAACAAACAGGTCCAGGTGGCCATTTTTGCTTCTAATAGATTTCTCCATGACACTGTGCAAAAAGTCATCCAATGATGGGTAATTGTAGTCTTCTCCCAGGAAGCTTTGCATCACTTTAGTGTTCCACTTGCGCAAACAGTGGAACATGTAGACTGAAGCCAAAAACTCCTGAACACTCAAATGAACAAAGCTATAAACTGGTTTTTGGAAGATCACACATTCTCGTTTAAAGATCTCTGTACAAACTCCTGAGTACATCGAGGCATCTGTTACATCAAGACAACATTGCTGTAGGTCTTCTTGGTAGAACAAGATGTTTCCTTTTTCCAGATGTTCATAAGCCAGCCTCCCCAGCTTCAGAAGCACATCTTTGTCAGCCTCTGTCAGCTCCTGTGAACCTGTCTCATGTCCTTCATGGTACTTGTTCTTCTTTATTTTTGTCTGAACCAGCAGGAAATGTGAGTACATGTCAGTCATGGTCTTGGGCAGTTCCTTCTGCTCTGTGGTCAACATGTGCTCCAGAACTGTAGCAGTGATCCAGCAGAAGACTGGGATTCCACACATGATGTGGAGGCTCCTGGAGGTCTTGATGTGGGAGATGATTCTGCTGGACAAATCTCCATCAATGAACCTCCTCCTGAAGTACTCCTCCTTCTGGGTATCAGTGAACCCTCGTACTTCTGTCACCCTGTCAACACATGAAGGAGGGATCTGTTTGGCTGCTGCAGGTCGGGATGTTATCCAGACCAGAGCCGAGGGAAGCAGACTCCCCTTGATGAGGTTTGTCAGCAGCACATTGACTGATGACTTCTGTGTGACGTCAGTCACAACATTTCTGTTGGTGAGATCCAATGAAAGTCTATTTTCATCCAGACCATCAAAGATGAAGAGAAGTTTACAGACAGACAGCTTCTCTGCTGGGAGCTTCTTTAATGATGGATGGAAATCATGGATCAGTGTGAGAAGACTGTACTGCTCATCTCTGATCAAGTTCAGCTCCCTGAATGAAAGCAGAATCACCACACTGACATCTTGGTTCTCCAAGCCCTCGGCCCAGTCCAGAGTGAACTTCTGCACTGAGAAGGTTTTTCCAACACCAGCAACACCATTTGTCAGAACCACTCTGATGGCTCCATGTTGGTCAGGTTTAAAGATGTCGTGGCACCTGATTGGAGTGTCATGAAGGCTCTTGATCTTGGAGGCTGCCTCCAGCTGCCTAACCTCATGTTGGGTATTAACCTCTTCACTCTGTCCCTCTGTGATGTAGAGCTCAGTGTAGATCCTGTTGAGGAGGGTTCTACTTCCTTTGTCACCACTTTCTTTACTCACATATTCACATCTCTTCCTCAGACTGAGCTTGTGTCCATCTAAAACCTCCTGCAGACCAGAATCTGCTGGAAAAACAAGACAAAAATGAAACAGTTGTTCTAATTGACGAAACATCATTCTTAATTTATGACTTATTGTTTTTGCCTTTTTTTTCTTGTTAAGTCCATGTTTTTGCAACAAGCTAGCAACAATCTAAAAAAGTTAAATCTGGTCCTCTGGACATTCAAAAAATCCAAAACAACAAAAAAATGTAGAAATGTTTCATCTTTCACCTGAAAGACTTCCTCAGTCTGAGGTGCTGTATTCAGCTCAGTCTTATAAATAGCACCTTCTCAGAGTGGATCGACCAGTTTTGCTGCTGACAACCAAAACCAGCTGCTCACATGATCAAGAAGGACCATCAGCCTAACAATGGATCATTAGCACACTGATGGCTGTTTACTATTCACAGGGGGCTGAGTGATACTAGCAATACCAGCATTGTAAGGGGGGACAGTTGAACCCAGAGGCCTCCACCCCTGTTTAATGATGGACAATTTATTTTCACAAAGATGACCTCCTTTACTCCTCTCTCAAACCATCGTTCCTCTCTGTCCAGAATGTGAACATCTTCATCCCTGAAAGAGTGACTGCTGGCCTGGAGATGAGTGTAGACTGCAGAATCCTGGCCTGATGATGTTGATCTTCTGTGCTGGGCCATCCTTTTGGCCAGTTGCTGTTTAGTTTCCCCAATGTAAGACTGATTACAGCCCTCCTGACACTGAACAGCATACACAATATTACTCTGTTTGTGCAGGGGGACTGGATCTTTGGGATGAACCAGTCTTTGCCGTAATGTATTTTGGGGTTTAAAAGCCACTGCATAATTACGCACACAGAAGACTGAGTGATGAAATTTTTTTTTGTGCAAGCAGGTGCTTCATGTTGAGTCTGAATGGACCCAGTGAGGCATAGACTACATCCTGCTTCGCCATTAACCCACTAGCGAAACCCCAGATTCTATGAGTATAGGCGTAGCCCTTTAAGCTCTGGGCCTCACTGGTTCCTAAATGGCTGAAGAAAAAAGCTATTTTGGGAGCCGATTACCTGGTCTCACCGTAATTTATACGGACCGGGGGTGAGGCCCACACACAGCAGGTGGATGTGGACTAAAGTTTTTTCAGTGCAGCGCTGAGCGCATAGGGATAAACCCACTAGCGAAAGTCTTAAAGGGCTACGCCTATACTCATAGAATCTGGGGTTACAGTACGTAACCAACGTTTTGTTTTTTAAATGTCCAGTTGTCCAGATTTAACTTTTTTAGATTTTTCTACCTGGATTATTGAGCATGCATCAGGATAAGCTAGCAAAATGTTTACAGAAATGTCTTACCTTGTACTAAGCATGTTTGATTGGCTGTCTGCATTCCAGATCTTGTTTTGGATCTTTCTCCACACTGGGGACAGGAGGAGCGTCCTGAAGCAGCAGACTGGTCCCAGTATGATGTGATACACCGTCTGCAGAACCAGTGGCCACAGCTGGTAGAAAATGGATCCTTCAGGATGTGCTGACACAAAGTACAGCAGGACAGCTGCTCCTCTACACAAGTACCACTCCTCTCCTTCCCCCTGAGAAGAACGTTTATCACCATCACTGATAAAAAAATAATAATACTGGAACAAGAAGTGTTGATAATATCAATTCTAACATTTGTGGCTACTTCTTCATTCTAACTACAGGATAACGAGAAAGTTGTTTTTAAAGTCTTTATACATCTACAAGGGTAAATAAAGCTTAGCAGGAGAAAATTTTACTTCAGAAAAAAGCCAGCAAGTATGTTCTCCCTGGAAGAGAAGTAGTACTTTTGTATGGACTTTTCTACAGTCACATAAGGAGTAGCAAGAAAAAAATATTGACACAATTGTAAGTGTATTGGCTAAATAACAACTATAATAAATGCAGTGTGAATACTGAGAGCAGACTGACAACTGAAGTATGTAAAGTAGCTGAACCGTCAGCATTAGTTTAATAATATGAAAAGCTAAAGTTCTATTTTGTATAAGCTTCGCCCTTTAAGGCTGTCGCTGATGGGTTTATACCGTTATGCGAAGCATTACACTGAAAAATTTAGTCCACGCCCACCTGCTGTGTGGGCCCCACCCAGTCCGTATAAATTACGTTAAGAGCGGGTAATCAGCTCCCATTTTTCTTCAGCGAGCTAATAGCACTGTCAGAAGAACGAAGAAGGAAAGTTGTGTAAATGACCAGCCTTTGTTAAGAATGCTTGGCCCGTCACGTCGACCTCCGGTCATCCCGGTGAGCTATCCTCCCCGAGGAGAAGCTGATGAGCAGTCTTGTTTCAAGGTAAGTGCCGAGGAGTATTTCTCAGTGACAGGTCGCTACACGCTGGACAACGCCATCATGTAATTTTCCTCTTATCGCCGACCCTCGGAGCGAATCGGATGGTTCCTCCGGGACAGGCAGCGTCAGCAGCGGCACCCCGCGGCTCATTCCCTCCTGGAGAGCGTAGTGTCGGTGGAGGGGGGATGAGCGAATGCTTACCTCATCCCACCTCGTTTCGCATCAGCGATCACACCGCTCCCGGCCGACGGCACCCTCTGGAGTTGCCCGCGTAACCCAGGAGTGGCTGACATGAAGGGACCTTTTTTACATCCCGTGCCTTTTCCCACCAGTTTGGATGATCTGGCGGGAGGGTTCTTTTTCTAGGCTCCTTTTCTGGCTCACCGTCCTGACCCCATCTGGCCTCGTTTTTTCCCAACAGCACGTCCTACAGGACAAGGCCACAGCCGGCTTTCCTGGTAGATTGGGGGGCCGGTCTCCACAGCCTGCGCCCATCACCAGAGCAGAGGGGTTTCACCGAGTGGTTTTTTTTCCCTCAGTGCCCCCTGGAGCCAAGCCTGACGGAGGCTTCATTGGAGCAAGATGTCCAGATGGACCAGCGTCCCGCGCCTCCAGTTAGCGTAACCCAGGCGGTGACACCGATCTTTGACTGAGCTCACCAGCATGCGTTCCAGACGGCCGCAGCGAACAACACGTTACGCTGTTGGCGTACATGTTCAGAGGCGGAAGGGGACACCGCTCCGTCTGCAGGGCAGTTGACGTCATCCCCAACCGGTGCGCCTCTTTGTTGTCTGCCGGCCCACATTGCAGCCGGAGGACGGAATTTTTCAGCGTTTCCCTGAGACCGCCAACAGATGGCGCTCTAGGACAACAAATGGCAGAGCAAATGACAGTTTTGGCAGAGAATGTATGTAGGTGACACGAGTTTGGAGTAAAACATCATTTAATTATAAAAGTGTCTATTTTTCAACCTGTCTGTCAGCTCCGATGATCTGACAGTGGCTCTTTCTCACATCCTCCACACGAAATGAGCCGGTGGCAAGACGGTTCCACGGCTGTCTCACTGAGCTTCAGCCCGTCCGTCAGAGACCGGCCCTCTTCATCCCGGCAACAGAGTGTCCAACGTTTTTCCCAGAGATCCCCAGAAGACGGCGCCCTGGGCCAATGAATCCCAGAGCTCATGGGGGAAAAGATTCAGAATGATGGTCTGCGGAGGATGTGTGTAAATATGACACAAATGTTGAATAAAACATCATTCAATGATCAAGTGTCTGCTTCTAGCCAGTCTGTAAGCTCGGATGGACTCACAGCGGCTGCGCACACACCCTCCACACACATAACGAGACGGTATCTTTAATGACGTTTTTTTTAAACTCACCGTTGCTCCAAGACATGACGAGACTCTCACACATCACAATGGTAAGCGAAATAACTCGTTGTCAACCCGAGCTGCACGATCCTCACCCAAGCGGTGTCAAACGCGCACTCACGCGACGCAAACAGCCTTCACCCAAACGGCGTTGCGTTGATGATGGTGCACACACAGCTCCCCGGCGTTCAACGGCCCACATCGGCATAAATGTGGGACCGCAGGTCGGGTCAGGGGAGGACCTCGCTCTCAGTGAGAGTGACACATGCCGCATTGAAGCAAATGCGTGCCGCCGTAGCGCTGGCAGCCTTCATCCACCGCGTCTCAGAGCTCGGCCACTCACGGCAGCATAAGCGAGAGACAGCTGAGCGAACCCAGTGATGAACCTTGCTTCCAGCGAGAGCAGCGCGCGTCCCACCAAAGAAAACGTGTGCTCCCGCAGGGCTCGCAGCCGTCACTCAAACAGCATGGCATAGATTAAGTCGCACTCACTGCTTCGCAGCGCTCGCCCACTCATGGCGGCATAGATGCGAGATCTCAAAGCGAACCCAGCGCAGAACACCGCACGCGGCAGGAGCGACACGCGTTTCACCACAGTGACGTCAAACACGCAGCCCCACGGCATCATCAGCTGTCACACGCTTCGCCTCAACATACATCAGCCCACCTAGACATGAAGGTTGGTCCGCGGTTCGAACGCAGCACACGGGCGCATTCAGAGCCTTTTCGAGGAAGCCTCGCCTTGGGTCACACGGAAAACATTCCCGCGACACGACAGCGGTCGAGGCAGTGGACTGGATGACATCCGTACAAAACATGACGCATCATTTAAACACACGTCCACTCCACGAACGTTACGCGGAGTGGCTAAAAACATGCTCGCCAGACAGAAGGATGGCCAGGGTGTTATGCAAAGGTTACACGTTGCAGTTTGCAACCCGACCCCTTCCGTTTGGAGGAATTTTAGAGATGGTCTTGTCATCACCAGACCAAATCTCATCCCTAAATGCAGAAGTCCAAGAGCTTTTGATAAAATAAGTAATCTCCAGAGTTCCCAACGGAGAGGAAAACATAGGGTTTTACTCACTTTACTTCCTGGTTCCCAAACGGACCTGAGGAACAAGACCCTTTTTGGATCTGTCAGTTTTTCAACAAGGCGATCATGGACAGACCGTTTCACATGTTGACAACCAGACAGCTGCTGGACAACATCCAGAGAAACGACTGGTCTGTTTTCCGTCGACCTAAAAGATGCTTATTTTCACATACCGATCATCCCAAAACACAGAAAATTCCTGCATTTCTCCTTTCAAGGGATGAAGTATCAGTACAATAGGCTGCCGTTCGGTTATTTCCTCGCGCCTCGTACATTCTCAAAGTGTGTGGAGACAGCCCTGCATCCGTTACACAGAGCAGGGATGAGAGTCTTGTTTTACCTGGACGACCTGCTGCTATTGTCACGCTCCAGACAGGAAGCAGTGATGCAGGCTCAGGTGTTGACATCACACCTGTTAAATCTGGGATTCACCATACATTGGAAGAAAAGCTCGATTTTCCCGGCCCAGACAATTGTTTATCTTGGAGTAGAGCTAAACTCAACCACCATGAGGGCTCGTTTATCCCAAACGAGAATCGACACTTTAAAAGACCAGCTCCGTCACGTAAGACCTGGCAGAGTGGTAACAGCTGTTTCCATCATGAAGCTGTTAGGAATGATGTCATCAGCTCACACAGTTGTCCCGCTGGGTTTATTACACATTAGATGCCTCCAGAGGTGGTTTGCGCGTCTGTGTGTGGACCCAGTAAAACAAAAGAGACGGATGATCACTGTTCCTCCCTCCGTGAGGGCAGACCTCCGACACTGGGGAAACACCCTGGTTCTGTCGGAGGGAGCCCCCGTCAGCAGACCCACATCACACGTGTCAGTCTTCACGGACGTGTCGCTGTCAGGCTGGGGTGGGGGGGGGGGGGCATGCCTATCTCAAGCAATACGGTCGCTGTGGCCCCATCACACATTCTTCGACTGCTTTGCATAATGGTATGACAATGCAGGATATTTGCACTGCGGCCGCGTGGTCAACACCCTGCTTATTTATTCACTTTTATCTACGTGATGTGACGGCCCGTTCCATGACACATTCTGTCCTTAGAGTTTTACAGAATGAATATTGTTATTTCATGGAACTCCGTTTAATTCACATCTGTCTGCATGCATTACAGTGTGAGATGTTGTTATCAGTCACAAGTTGTGATTGTTAATTTGGTTCTATTGTCACTAATCAGTTCATGACTACTGTTACCAATCAGTTCATTTGATTAATAATCAGTTCTCCTGTTATTATTAATCTGTTCATACTGTAGTGTTCAGCCGTAACCGGTTGGTTCATGGCTCTTTTCAGCATATTTTTCCAGAAAGAGAGCCCCAGACCTCTGAGCTCGGACGAGACAGAGAGTGTGCGTCGGTTCTTGGAATTGTTGAAAGGTGTTGCCACGGACAAACAACCTAACGCGTTGTTTGGCAATATCATTGCTGATAAGTCAGAGCACACAGACAACACCGTTACTGCTGTCACAGACAGTCACCATGACGCTGTTGTTGTAAACTCTGACGCGCCCTCACCTGAAATAGGGGGGTACAATCACACGTCACCGACGGTGACCCGTCACAAACTGAAACCTCAGAAACAGCAACTGCTGTGCTAATGGTTCAGTCAAAACAGGGTGACACAAATGACAATGTTGCCGCTGTCATGGACAGCCACCAGAACCTTGTTGTTACAAACAATGAGAGCCCCTCAACACACAGTGAGCGGGTGATCTCATACATCAATGACGGAAGCCCGTCAAAAGCCGAACTCCCAGGAGCAGCAGCAACTGCGCTAACGGTTCGGAAAAACCAGGATTACACAGGTAAAGGTAGA